TGAAATAAGTACATCATGGGGATGGTGTATCCTCTTAATCATTTATCCTTTGAGTTACACACAATCCAGTAACACTCTTATTTTAAAATGTACAATTAAGTAATTACTGACTATAGTCAACCTATTGTGTCATCGAAAATAGCAAGTCTTATTCTATTTTTTGTATCCATTAACAATTCCCACCCTCCCTCCAGCCCCCCACTAACCTTCCTAGCCCCAGTTTTTAAAAATACATAAGCACACTTATATATGGGGTGCACATTCTTCCTTGTGCTTCAGGCTCCAATCTGGCTTAGATCCTGTATTCAGTTAAAATTTTAATACAGTCATGCACTTCATAATGATGTTTGGGAAAAAGACAGACTGCATATACAACAGTGCATCTACAAAGGTGGTCCCATAACATTACAATGGAGTTGAAAAATTCCTATTGTCTAGTGACATCGTACCTAATAAAACATCAGAATGCAATGTATTACTCATGTGTTACTTGATATTAATAATGACTATGTCACTGGTTTATGTGTTTACTATACTTTTTATTATATTATTAACTTATTTTTAAAAAGTTAACTGTAAAACAGCCTCAGGCAGGTCCTTCAGGAGGGATTCCAGAAGAAGGCATTGTTATAGGAGATGACTGTGTGTCACTGCTTCTGAAGACCTTCCAGTGGGACAAGAGGTGGAGGTGGAAGGCTGAGACTGATCATAATAACCCTGTGTAGGCCTAGGCTAATGTGTGTGTTTATGTCTTAGTTTTTTTAAAAAAGGCAAAAAAGTTTAAAAAAAAAAAAAAGCAAAGGTAGACAAAAGCTTACAGAATAAGGATATAAGAAAAATATTTTTGTATAGTGGTACAGTGTGTGTTTTAAGCTAATTGTTATTACAAAAGAGTTAAAACGTAAAAAATATTGAAAGATTTATAAAGTTATAGTAAGTGAAAGTTTATTGAAGGAAGAAAAATATTTTTTATAAACAGAGTGTAGCCTAAGTGTATAGTGTTTATGAAGTGTTTAGTGGGGTACAATAATGTCCTAGACCTTCACGTTGGGTTACCACTCACTCACCCACTCACCCACAGCAACTTCTAATTCTCCAAGCTCCATTCATGGTAAGCGCCCCATACAGGCGTACCATTTTTATCTTTTATACTGTATTTGTACTGTACCTTTTCCATGTTTACATATGTTTAGACACACACATACTGACCATGAATTACAATGGTCTGCGGTATTCAGCACAGTCCCATGCTGTCAGGTTTGCAGCCTGGAAGCAACAGGCCACACCGGTGACACAGCTGAGGTGTGTCGCAGGCTCTACCACTTAGGTCGTGAAAGTACATTCTATGGTGTCCGCACAGCAACGAAATCGCCTAATGACGCATTCCTCAGAACATTCCCTGTTGTTAAGCTACACACGACTCTTATTTTGTTCCTCCCGGATTTCTTGCATTAATTTTTACCTTTTAAAATATTACATTAAGATATTATTTGATTGCCAGTTTTTCTGGTGCTCCCTTAAATTTGACGGCCTGTCAGCCCTTCCCCGGCTCCCCTTTCTTTTTCTGCTTTTCTTAGTGCTTTAACAGGCCTGGAACGTTTTCTTTTTCTTTTTTTTCTTTAATTTTCTTCTTCTTCTTTTTTTTTTTGAGACAAAGTCTCGCTCTGTTGCCCAGGCTGCAGTGCGGCGGTGCGTTCACGGCTCAATGCAGCCACGACCTCCATGGCTCTGGTGATCCCCCGACCTCAGCCTCCCGAGTAGCTTGGACCCCAGGCGCGCGCCACCACGCCCAGCTAATTTTATACTTTTTGTAGAGACAGGGTCTCACTATGTCACCTAGGCTGGTCACAAATCGTTTTCCTTTCTCCCCCCACAGGCAGAGCTACTCTCTGTTTTGCCTACCTCGCCCCCTCCCGGGCACAGTTAGAAACCTCATCACATTTCTTTTAAATTGAACCTTGAAACCTTCCAAACTCACCACTTGGCGGCGTTGATCATCCTCCCGCAACCAAAGAGAAACTCGCGGAACTTCAGAGTTAAGGGGCGACGTTTCCCACGGCGCTCGCCGGCAGTATTTCCAAGGCGCACGTTGTGGAGTTTCTGCTTCCTTTTTCCTCTCGCGAGCTTTGCGTTCCCTGTGCCCCGGAAGTGATCCCCTGGTTGGCTCGGCTGCTGGGGTTAGAGCGTCGGGTGAGGGAGGGATAGCAAGCGCTAAGCAAGTGGTGGAGTCCTGTGTTTTGGCTGCGCGTGATCCTGCGTGGGTCGGAAGGTGTTTCTGTAGGTGTCTGACCCTTTCCTCAGTCGTGCGGAGGACTGCGTGATTTCCTCCCAGTTCTCCTCGGTTTTCAGGTGGTGGCGCCACCTCCGGTAAAGGGTGCCCACCTCTCCCCACGGTGTGGCTGGCTAGCCCGGGGATCTCTACGCTGCTTGGTCTTTGCTAACGGAGATGAAGGCAGTAATTTTTCAGCAACAGGTTTCAGATATAAGTCCCTTGGTGACGCTAATAGTTTTTGAGCCTTTACTATGCCTAAACTTTTTTAGAAGTTTAGAAAATGGCAGTGAGTAAAGCAGATAAAAATCTGTGCCCTAGGGGAGCTTGCATTGTAATCAGATTTGAGAAGAAGTGGATTGGAAGTGGGATTAACTCACAATCAAAATTTTGTCTGGGTTGGAGGAAGAAGAAGTTGTTTGGGACCAAAAAGACACACAGGTGTGAGTTTATTTGGGAGGGAGGAAGGAATCCTCATCAGGTGTGCAGGAATGTTGGTACGTTGTGGTCACAAAATTGGAGTGCATAAGAATTATAAATGCAGTTAGGAATTTAGGACTGGTGAGTTGTGCTTTTGCCATAAGAAGTAATGTTTCTCATTTTGTTTTTTTCCTTTAGGAAGAGCCTAAAGATTAGACTGTAAGGAAAGAAAATAGAAGCCATGTTTCGAAGACCTGTGTTACAGGTAGTCACTTGTCTGTATTAATATTGAGATGTATTACTATCAGCGGTGATCAGAAGACTTCTTCAGGCTTTTAACTACAGGGCAAAAGACCTTTGAGCTCACCCACCCACCTCTGTACTCAACTGATATGGAGGATTGGTAGTGTAAATTTTGCCAGTGTAAATTATGTTCACTAAAAAAAAAGTTCAGGTTTATTCACATATGTAATAGGAATCATTAATTTTTAAAACGTGTGTGTGTTGCTTGAATTTAAGCAGTGAAAGAACATTATAGGTCTTTAGTGACCTAAAGACTGTAGGAATCATTGTTCCAACTTTTTTCTTAAGGCGTGTAGTTGCTTTTTTGACCGTCTACCTCCTGTGTTGCTAAACGTTCCTCTTCCCCCATCTTTCCACCCTGAAGAGAGCAGCTCAAGTCTGAATGGTCACCACAGATTTCACTATGTAGAAAATGCCTTCTCATTCCACTTAATATGGCTCCTCACTTTTCCAGTCACTCTAGCCCACCTTGAGCCAGCTTAGACTACCGTTTTTCCTCACTTACCACATTTGGGCACCAACTCCTGTAGATTCTTCTTTGGCTGTCCTACTCCCCATCCTCCTGTGAAGATCAATGAAGCATCAGTTCCTCCATGACTCTGTCATTTTTCCCACCTTAATCCTATATTCTTGGATCCCCCCTTTAACCTGTGTGTATCTTTAATCTATTTTTTCTGTATTGAAATGTGAAACATAAAAAAGTTATTACTTAACACTATTGTTACAGTATTAAAATGTCTTTAAATAAGAGTTAAAAGTTCAATTTTAAAAAGTATCCAAGTTAAATAATCCTTTCCTAATCTTTTCCAGTAGGCTTTGATTTTTGTGTGCCCCAAATGAGACATTGTTATCATGTAAGATTTATGAGCTCTTGCTTGTCTGAGCACTGAAATGAGTACATTTCCAGAATCATGACACAGGTTCTCATTAGCAGTTTGATTCTATAGTATGTTGTACTCATATGTTTATTCTCTTACCCACACTGTGCCCCTAAGTTTAGTGATAGGATTAGATAGCCAACAGCACCCTGGGAATTGGTGTTTATTTGATTGGTGGGCTTCTGCTTTTTATATTAACAGTACTGCCACTTCGAAAATGTTTCTCTGATAGAATGGCTAGCTCTCTCAACTCTGTATTCAGTGATGTGTACTCCCATCTTTACAGTAGCTCTTGAAATTCAGGAGGCAGCAAGGGGCTTTGGGAAAGTAGTAGCATTGGTGTCAAAGGGCCTGGGCCTTGAGATCACTCGCCACATACTTCCTGCGGGATCTTGGGCAGGTTATGCAGTCTCTCCGAGGTTGTTTTCTCAGCTCTAAGTGGGGATAATTTTACATAACTTGTAGATTTAGTTTTATAATTGATAATAGATAAATCTCTTAGCTGATAGTAACCATTGCTGCTGTTATGTGGTAGTGACTACCTTTTCCGACAATGATGTGATTTTGACTTGGACAGTCGAATCTTTGTGTTTAATCAAAGAACAAAATTTATTAGACCTTTTCTGATGCACTGAAAGCATGAAATTTCCCATGAAATACTTATAGAAATTGTATTAGGCTAAGCTCACTACTGAAGCTGTTTAATTTTTGCGATAACCTTGTGAAGTAGATATTACCTATCATAATTTTTGCTGATTTTAAAATGAAACACTTTAGGTTAATCATATTTGAGGCATCCTAATTCCTTTTAAGGTCTGAAGGAGCAACCGGGGGAAGGCAGTTACATAGACACAGGGAATCTGACTTTGGAATATGTTCCTGTTGCTGTGTCAGAAAGTCACTCATGTGGTTAGTTCAAGAATGTATTGTTTTATTGGGATTTAACCTATTTCTCATTCTCTAAACCAGCAGACCCCAACCTTTTTGGCACCAGTAACTGGTTTCACGGAAGACAATTTTTCCATGGAGGAGGCGGGTGCCGCGGGGATGGTTTGAGGATGAAACTTTTCTACCTCAGATCATCAGGCATTAGTTAGATTCTCATAAGGAGTGCACAGCCTAGATCCCTCGCATGAGCAGTTTATAATGGGGTTCGCACTCCTATGAGAATCTAATGCCCCTGCTGATCTGACAGGAGGCGGATCTCAGTAATGCTTGCTCACTGCTTGCCGCTCACCTCCTGCTGTGCAGCCGGGTTCCTAACAGGCTACAGACCTCTACTAGTCCTTGACCCTGGACGTTGGGGATCCTCCTCTAAACTAGCTCGTTGTTATGCCTGAGAGTGAGGCTTTGCATTTATTCCACACCTCCTGACACTTGTTTGATCATTGCGTATGTTATTAATGAATCTACTTATTAAATTATTAATTATAAAACATCTCTTTTTACTCTCCTTTGGCCTAATGATGGATTAAATCAGTACCCATGTTGGATCTAAATTTCTTAATTTCTAAAGTCTACTGTAACCAAAATATAGTAATAATATAGCAGTTGTTTATACTAAAAAAAAAAAAAATTAGAGGATGTATATATTGGATATACATAGTACTTTTTGTCTCTCCAGCTAATGAAAGCTGGATTTTGAAAATACTTGGCAGCAACTCTTAGGTACAGGTTGGATTTACAAATATTATCATACTCTGTAATGTTAAAGTCATATTATTTTGACTTTTCCTTTTGTGTGCAAACACAGAAGTGCCATAATCAGGGGGACTGTGGCAAAAGAAACGGGAGTACTATAAAGTAACTCTTGAGCATGCCTTCTAGTACCTTCCCTGTACCTTTGGGCTTCTGCAGTGGGCTGCACGTGAAGTGTTTGCCGGGTCCTTCTGGCACTCTTTTGGGAGAACATGAGAAGAGCTTCTCTTCTCTTCTGGAATTTACAGGAATTACTGACTACATGGTGAATGAATGTGAGTAATTCTTCCGTTGCTTTTGCCTTTCCTAAAAAATTAAAGCCATGTTACTCATTTTTTGTTCTTTAGGTACTTCGTCAGTTTGTAAGACATGAGTCCGAAACAACTACCAGTTTGGTTCTTGAAAGATGTAAGTAGCTAATTTCCAAGTTTAAAATGTTATTTTTAGTAATTTGCCAATCTCAAATGTGCTGTAGAAGAGGTATGCTGGTTGGGTTTACCATGTTATCATTGTGCTTTTAGTTTATGTTTGCTCTTCAGATCTTAGCCTTGACCCATCAGGCTGTGGAGACATAGTATAAACTGAGCCCCTATTCTCCTTATCAGCCAGTTACTACTCATTCTCGTCGACCCTGTCCTGCATCAGAATTTCTGGCCGGGCACACGGCTTACGCCTGTAATCCCAGCACTTTGGGAGGCCGAGGCGGGCAGATCACGAGGTCAGGAGATCAAGACCATCCTGACTAACATAGTGAAACCCCATCTCTACTAAAAATACAAAAAACAGTTAGCCAGGCGTAATGGGGGGCGCCTGTAGTCCCAGCTACTCAGGAGGCTGAGGCAGGAGAATGGCATGAACCTGGGGGAGCGGAGCTTGCAGTGAGCTGAAATCACGCCACTGCACTCCAGCCTGGGCGACAGAGTGAGACTCCGTCTCAAAAAAAAAAAAAAAAGAATTTCCTTGAGTCATATTTGGTTATCTGAGTCTTCCCAGATTATATTAGGCTGAGATTATAAAAGATACTGTTTCTTCACAGAAATATTCCCTTGTATTTATAAAGATTTTCAGATCTCAGATTTGTTCTTTTAGCTCCACAGTCAGTTAAAAAAGATATCTTAAAGAAGAATTTAAGATCTAGAGCTTACAGTTTGTTTCGTGGGGCTGCTTTCTCTATGAGTATTTTCTTCTTTCTTGACAACACTCTTTGCTTTTTCTTCTTTTTTGACAACACTCTGCTCTCGCAACCTCTTCTTATTCATTCCTTAACTTATTTTCTGATCTTCCAGAACTTGGGTTTTACTTAATACGGAGATTGAAGTTGCAGTGATATTTATAGCATTTCTTCTGGACTTTTCTCTCAATCTTGGGTGTGGATTTCTTTAGTGGTCAGCTTAGAGGCTGCTATAAAAAAAATACCATAGACCGGGTGGCTTCACCAACATTTATTTCTCACAGTTCTGGAGGCTAAAAATCCAGGATTCATGTGCCAGTATGATTG